GTTCCTTCAGGATTCTCCTATTCTTCCATACTGCTGCTGTTTATATCTTTTTAAAATTTATGAAGTTGGCTGGCTAGGTAGACTGGAGCCAGCAGCAGAGCCACGACCATGGTTTGAAATTAACATCTTCCCCTCTACCCCATATTCTTCAGTAATTCCCCAAACCAGCACATGTGCTATCACAATCCATTGCCATTAAAGGGACCAAGGTCTCAGACAGTGAACTGCAGGATCATTACACAACTCAGAGATGTGAGGGTTTCCATTCAGACATAATTACCTTGGTTTTTAACCTGCATTTTTACCCTTAAAAGTGGCTGTAAAAACTGCACTGTGGATTTGCAGAACCACTATGCCTACTGCATATAATATCTGACCAGTTTACTTTTTCCCACCACCATTCTTGAAAACTCACCTCGGGGTCTGACAGTTAAACTGAGCTCCTTCTATCTCACATACCACCACCACCACCCAAAGCTCTTCAAGCAAAACTGTGATCCCAAACACACATGTGGAACCCCACCAAATCATGTGGGAGGAAAAACATTTTAATTTGCTTATTGATCAAATATGATACGGAAATTCATGAGTTACTCAGTGCCATTTTTACAGTCATTTTGGGGGGCTGTATAGTATTTTAAGTGACAATGAGATGGAGAAGAAAAAAAGAAAAAGGATTCAATTAAGCCCCTGGGGGCCTGGACTTTTTGATCTTTGTACAGCACCTAGCACAATGGGGTCCTGGCCCATGACTAGGTCTCTTAAGCACTATGGTAATACAGATAATAAATAATAATAATAATAATAATAATAAATTCAATAGGATTTCTGCACACTTAATTTCTGTAAAGTGTGTTCAATGCTCAAAGTTGATTCTACTTGAAGACAACCATCCCTTCTGCCATCCTGGAGCTCCAATGAATGGATGCCACCAAAACATTGGTGTCTGATTAAGAGTATGTGGGCAGGGGAGATGCGTGACACAAGGCACTGTTTGGGGTGCTAAAGGATGACATTTCTATTATGTCTGCTTCAGCACTATGAGTTTTAGCTGCTCATATTTGTAGGTGTTATTTGTAAAGTTTGTCAGAAAATGTGGTCTCAGTCAAAAACTAAGTAATTTTCATCACAATCTGTATTTGATACTCCTGAGCACTATAAAAGCAGCTGAATTCACTTTTTCTCATACAGGTGTAATTTAATGGGTTCTTGCTCCTAAACTTGTTTGAAATCAAACACCACTGTTACATATTTTTAAAGGTTGTTAAAGACTTCAAATAGCAGCTCTAAATTTGAGCCTCACATTGCTCTTTAACAATCCCTGCGGCTGATTTTGAAAAACTGCTAGCAGGCTCTATGGCAGGTCCCATCCAGTTCTGCAAAACTGGAACTTGTAAACTTGAATGGGGATCTCATAACATGAGAGTAGAGATCTCTCAGATATGTCTGCCAATGCACTGTCCGAATCAAACAATCCTGATCTATTATAATACACAGGTATCACATGTGAAATGCTCGGACGGGATGAGTTGTATTACACTCCTGCTCTGTGCATCTTCTTTGCTAAATACAGTTTTATGACAATGACCATTGCTTTGGGGCTGGTAGCTTTTTTGGAACAGAGCAACAAGAACAGCCGAAGATACTCTTACTCTTCAGCCCCCCCCCCCCCCCAAACGTTTCAGTAAGAGTGATTCAGAGTTTCTCTAAACCAGGTGAAATTATGAGATCTGGCTTCCCCAGCTTTAGCTTTTGATATTTCATTGCTTGATATTTTAATTGGCATTAGTGGGGCATAAACCCTTCTGGTAGCCTAGGTCCTATTTAAAAACCCACAAAAAATCTTGTTAGTAAAGAAAAATGAAAAAAGCCATACAAGGGTAACAGCTACACAAGAAAAGCAAGAGAACTAAAAGGCTTTGGTTAGAAAATTAAAGTTGTTTGCCATAGCTTGATGGCTTAATCAGTCAATCAATACTGTTCGCAGGGCAGGCACGGAAAGAGCTGCGAGTTGTGATGAAAAATGTATGAGGGGACAAGGGAGACCTGGGAGTAGAAAATTAAAAACTCAGCCTGTTACATTTGTCCAATATCGGCAGAAAAATTGAAGTGGTTTGGGTGTGTGCATGCTGGGAGGGAAGAGGAGAGCTGGCTGCAATATGTACTGAATATCTGCTACGGGGTCCCTTCATGAGAGAAGCTCTCACATTAATAAATTTGTTTTCTTAGAGAAAAGATGGATTTTGTAACCTTTAAAATTTACAAGCTACACAGTAATAGTAGGGGGGTTTGCACATTAGACACAAAGGGTGATCTCTTCACATCAGGCATCCTATTTAAGGCTGAACAGCCGTGTGCTCTGACCTAGGGTAAAATGATATTGAGGCAACAGGCATCATGGTGCAGTGTATTTTCTTTGCAATATCAGGTTAGACTAATGTATCAGTGTACTGTAGTCTGAATGCTGGAACAATACAGCTTCGTAACACACAACCTGCCTTACCTTCTGATCCACCAAAGAAAGCCACTGCAGCAGTGTTATTTGATAGCATAGGTAATTTCCACGTCTCTCTCACTTCCATTGCTGAATTTGACTACCACCCCATTCTACAATGCAATTTGCCTTGCTGAAATAAGGTACCATGAAATATGCAGTTCTGACTTCTCTCCAACACTAAATATAGGGAAAATTGCCAACCATTCCTCAGGAGACATGTTCATTATCATTTGCCTTAAATAATTTGAACCGTTTTGTGAAGAATGCTCAGATTGTAATAAAATGAAAAGTTACCCAAACTGCAAAAAAGCCACATCTTGCTGCCCATCTCTTTACCTAAGACTAAATAAGGAGAACAACATTCATTGCCTAAGGAATAAGGTTGGTAGGTGTAATAGTGAAAGCTTTCCACTATAAGAATGTAGTTTTGATTAGAGTTGACCTGAGGCTTTAATTCCTCAAAATTCAAAACCCTAAACTAGTTTCTTCTTGGCTTAGGGGATGCATGATCCAGTGATTAACAGCAGGTGAACAAAGAACAAACCGAAGTTTTAGGGGCAAATTCTGAGGTAAGATTAAGTGAAGTCTAAACTATTGTAATTTTTTCAGTCCATCAGTTCATAAGTTGGACCAATTTAGACACAGTTATATTCCAATCCCCCTTAATGCAAATATTACAACCCTTACACTTCACCTCTGGAACTGGCTTTGTATTTCTTTCTCCTGAGCCTTATCAACAAGACACGATTTGCCAGGTACTATGCTAGACCTTTTTGTATGGGAGAACATTCCATCTACCTGGGGCTTTTTGAAGGAATTATGTAAACTGAATTTGCACTACATGTCCATAAGCAAGACAATTCTTCTGTTCAGCTACCTACACTGAAATTTTCTGACTCGGTACCAGGATAGCCAATTACAAGCTTAAAATTTCAAACTCAGTTAACATACAGACTGGCTGAATCAGTTTTCTGCAACTAATTATCTGTAAATTCCAATATATTATTTCACATGTGATTTTCCTGTGAACTTTGGGGTTGCTTTCTACACCATTATCCAAGTATAAACAAAATGGAATAGACAGAAGCCTCTCCAAAGCCTACTGAAAAGTGCTGTCAACCATATCATGACCTTTTGAGGGTTTTTTTTTTTGTTTTTGTTTAAAAAAGAAAAAGCTGACAGCATAAGAAAATTAAGCCCTCTAAATTATGCACAGGCCAGGTACAGTGATGGCAAGTCCACTTACCATACTACAATATTCACTCTCATCTGGGATGCACATATCGTTCTGTCCTGTATGATCTCCGCACCCAGAATGCTAGATGGGTCAAATAGTAGCAAGTGAGCAGGAGTATGTGCAATGGGACCAGTTTTCACCAAGCAAGTCAACTTTACTTGCATTGACAATTTGGCAATCTTTTGTTTGGGGTCACTTGTAGAGTTTTAAAAAATTAAAAGGCGAGGTAAAATATATAAAATTTCACTCCTTTTCATCAACATCATCAATCAAATGTATATTCACACCTTGCAACCTTAAAAGGAATAGCAGGATCACATACGAGTATCTTCTTTGAAGCCTCTGTCTCCTCTCTCTCTAAGCTGGGCTGGCCTAAAAAAGTTCCAGATATAGAATCACACCTGGAATTCTTAAATTCTGAACAAAGTCCCTGTTTTTGCATTAACACTGAAACATGAATGTTGCAATGGTTAGTCCTTCACATTAGGAACAGGATGTAAGAATGTTTCACTCAGTACCATAACTATATACAATGACAGCTAGAGCAAGTTGCAACTTCTCCATTTTTCAGTTTCTGTACCTATTTAAATAATAGCATCTTGCACAGCTGGACTGTAGACTTAATCCAATGATATCAGCAGAGTGCTTTAAGCTCTTTGCATAAAATGGACTACGTGCAATACCTTACTGAACATGGCCACAAAGAGGAGGTAACTTTACTCAACAGTCTTCTCTAAAAACAAAGTCCTCAGAAAGAAACTTCTCACTTTTCAGCAAGATGCACTCTCCACACAACTGAAGGGGCTACAAAAATGAGTTTGCAGCATTAGGATTCAACATCAAATCTGCTGAAAAATAAACAATTAAGAGAGTGACAGCCCTTCTCTAGCCCTCCCCCTACTGGCTTTATTAGGTTTGTTAAGGTAATAAAGGTGCACTAAAGGGAAGCACAGCCAAATGACTGACAGGGACTGGGACAGAAACAATCTATGATCACCCAGAAAAGTATATGAGGTTACTACCTACACTCAATCAGCATTTATTTGCAACAACCCCACCTTGAGTCATCAGTGAAGACTGAACCAGAGACTTTCAGCTCAGGCTTATTCCTTGTGCTATTAGCCGGTAGTGGTAGAACTCTCATGCTCTTTGTGGACCAGCCACTATTGGCAGACATGTTACACTTAGCTAGAGTGTTAAAGGAAAAAAACCCACAAATTTAAATCATCACAGTGCTGAATAAGTATGTGTCTGCACTACAGAAGCTGTGCTTAAGGACTAAATTTATTTTACAACTTTCAATACTACAACAGGGCAAACGAATTAGACACACAGTGACTGCTCACCGCATACTTTATAACTGCTCAATACACACAGATTTTGCTAACATTTTTCATTACAATTTTAGTAAAGGGAAACATCTGTTCCCTCTCTCAAAAAGTACAATTCATCTTCCAAGCTGTCACATGCCTTTGAAATTTCATGTTTATCAACACGCTGCTCTCTTCCAGAATAAGAGCAGCACAGAAAACCATCCTTGCAAAAAAAAAAAAAAAAAATTCCAATAGCATTTTTTTTTTAAAATTATTCCAGTTTTTTTAAAAAGTCAAAATCTGTGAAACACACACAAAATGAACCTAAAGTATGTTACAGGGTAACAAAGTAAATGACACATACTCTTTGAATACAAAGTTATTTATAGTTCACAAAAATAAGCTCTCCTCCATTGTAAATTTTGTAGCAAAATGTACATTGTACATGAATATTCTCATTAAAATTTCAGTTATTCATGACAATGACTACAACTGACAGATCCCAGAGAATGACTTCAGCACAAATACTCCAGTATGACCACGTACAATCTGCCTAAAATAGTAGCTTTTCCCCACCTTTTCCCCTGTGCATTAATTGAAGTAAAAATAAAATAAATAAAAGCCTCATTAGTATCTTGGACAGAGACTTCTTTTTTAATGGCCAAATGCATAGTGCTGCTTTACTACTCAGTAAGAAAACTTCAATAAAGGAGGAAATGTGTATATTAATGTCCAGAAAGGGAATCAACTAATGAATCATCAGCATTCTTCAGAGCTCATCTGAAGGCCTGTTCTGTCCGTAAGTCCCATTCACTTTCCTTCTTCCAAGACCAGTGACTGGGTTGTGTTACTACTGCCTGCAAGTGTCATGAAAAGCCTCAAGTGTTCGGAAATCTCTCCACGTGGGTGGAAGGCCATCCTGCAAAAACTTTCCACAGCGCTGGCATGGAGCCTGGAACAGCTTTATGTAACTTCTTAACCAGGTCTAAAAAGAAAAGCATAGTGAGAAATTAAACAAACTAGATATGGATGCTCCCCAATGTTATCATTCCAGTCAAACAAAATTATACTGAGCATCGAGAACATACCTTGGTTTGGGCCCAGAAAGATATACAGTGATTTTATAGAAATGGAAGCATGCAGAAAATCACAAGGTCACAAGACAGCTGATTTTCCATTTTGCTGGAGTCCCTACTCTCTCTCATTAAGCAACTTTGTAAACAGAAATTCACGCTGTGAGAAGAAGGTATTTGTAGCTAAAGGGTCACCATGGACAACCAATGCTCCTCACATTCCAACTGACATAGGATTATGCTTGATCATTCTCCGATACTTGTGCCCTGATAAATTAGATATTGGTTTCTTTCTTTCTGTTATTCCTCTACCACGCCTCTGCTGCAGTCACAGTGCAGAAACCTGAACTCTTCATAGATGAAGATATAGTATATGACTTTCACATCGGGTTAACTAATTTTCTTTCTAATGTGGTTTGAACATAGTATTTTTATGACCAATAAGTACTATAAAATCTTATATTTGATGACACTTCTACAAAAGAAAAAATGTTGTCAAGTGATAAACAGCAAACAACAGCTTAAAACATTCCCAAGTAAAGATTTGGTCTCTTAACTGGGTTGTCATACATAAGAATGAGCATTACATAACTCAATTCCAAACTCAAGGAGATATGCAACTAAAAAACTCAAGACAAGCAGATTCACACCATGAAGGATGCACATGAATCTTGTCATTTAAATTCCTACTGAATTACATCAATAAGAGAAAATTGTTCTCTGAAGAAGAGGTCAAGTGAATTTATTGAAACAAATCCTTCCATCCTCATCAGAGCCTTCTCTATAGCAGCAGAATTTAAGGCAGTCAATAACTTTCCTCAAAAAGAGCTATATCATCTCCGGGTTTAGCAGTAACTAGGGACATGGGCAACAGAATACTATAGGTAAGCTGCTGCTATTAACTTCCGCTTTGTTGGACTTAGCCTGCACCACAGAAAATCAAATTTTCTGAACTATAATACAGAGATAAGTAAATGAAGTTAAATTGTACACTTAAGAAACACCTTTTGAAAGAAAAATAATGTTCTTCATTCCTGTTGGAAAATTAAGACTACCCTACATCCTGTCAAATGGACTGAACACCCGACATGTAAAAGGACCGACATATTGATACTTGTGATGAGCTTGTGTTTTTGCTTTGTTAAAGTTTTCAGTAGTGTTTTATCAAATCAATACGACAGGTCCACAGCAAAAGCAAATGTGCTACCAGTTCTCGAAACATTAATTTTCAGGTACATGCTGCAACATGGATTGGACCAGTAAGACCTACTTCTGCCATTCTGGAGCTGAAGAATCTTATTGTAAGATGCGCCCTAATAGAAAAGCGCTTTACACAAGTATTTTAGCTTAGTGGCCATTTTATAAATTAATTAAATAAATGCAACAGGTAAAGGAGTTTAACTGTTTTGAAATCAGACTTCTAACAACTGGAACATGAAAGAGCAATTTACAACTTTCCACATGTGAATCTAAGTTTTCTCCAGGAGTGGTGGAGACTGATGGTAGACAAAGCAAACTGGATCCTGATTTTAAAAAATGCCCATGCCTCTATCACTTGTTCTGGACAATTATAAAAAAGTTGACATAAATTTTATGAGCAGGGAAAAAGTGTTTCTTCGACAGTAGGTGGGGCAGATTGAGCCCTAGCTGTTTTCCACTGCCAAACTATATCCTGCCAGAAGGAGTACTGAATAAGGAACCATTGTTCTTACTCACCAGACAGCAATACAGTTTATACAAAAATCTGTTTTTACAAACAAAATTATAAATATATTCAAAGTTCATATGTGCTGAATTGAAATCTGTATATTGAGACAGATTGTTTTAAATAAATTAGGTAATTCTTAATAAATAGTACTACTTAATAATTAAGATATTTCTTTCTGGTAAAACTGTGGGATAGATTTGTGTGCGTGCGCGTGCATGTGTGAGTGCGCACTTTTCCTCTCTTGATTCTGAGAGCCAGTCTGTGCCCGCTATGGCAAGAATTATGCCAGAGGTGCATGGTCCCTGAGGAACCAGGTATGAACTGAAGACTGATGTAGCAAAGTGGAGTGCCAGCCAGTGCCCTATCAACATGTCCTTTCCCATCCCTCAATGTGCACTCTATGCCAGAAGGTGCGGTTGGTAAAAGACATGGCTCTGCTGGTTTTAAGCCAGTGAGGGGTTCTCCTCAAAAGGGAATTCTCTGCTGGCCAATGACAGCCAGAATCCATCTCTTTTACATTGCTTGAGTCCAAAGGGGACAGATCATAACTGAGAATCTGGCCTCATTTGCATCTTAGTTTCAGAGCTGACCCCAGTCCAGCTTCACAGATAAGATTCAGCAAGCAAACATTGAAAGCTATAATGAGTTATACAGATGCATATACAGGAATCTTCGAATACCATCCATCCCAGTGTACTGAGAACGGCACTATTTATTTTAAAGAGTATTAATGACAAATAACATTGGTTACCTTCTTCAGTTGTGAGACCTGAGGGAATTTAGTAAATAATTATTTTTAACCACTTTCAATATGGGAAATTACTCTGTGTAACAAACTGCCTGGTATCAATCATTTTCACCAGGCTGAAGTCCAGCTGGGAGAATTTCTTTTAAAATAAGCTTACCATGAAGGATCTGACCACCACATCTGGCATCTGGGGCAGCTGGTAATGCAATAAAGCAGTGGTTGCATGATCTGTCACCTGTGCCACAGACAGAAGGGAAAGACCTCCTTATTAATTCATTATTTCAGACAAAGATGTGTTACTTTAAATGGAAACAGCATAACATCTCAAAGGGAAGACGTGAAGAAAGAATGACATGACACCCAAGATATTCAGATAGCAACACAAAGATGTTTGTGTGGCTCTCTCAAACACAGTCCCATTCTTTAGCTCTCTACACAAGAGAATTCATTGAGACACAAAGGTAATTAGTGTTTTCATACACAAATACTAAAAGCACCTTTACAATGCAATACCATGGTAATAGCTAATACTATAGGGAGGAAGCATGGTTTAAGTCATTAAAGAAGGGGGCTAGAAGCTAGGAGAAATAGGTTCTATTCCTAATTCTGCTAATGACTCACTGAATGACACTGGGCAGGTCACTTAATTTTTTTATGCCTCAATTTACTGACCCACCTTTGTATGCCTGTCATAAATATAAAGGGAAGGGTAACCACCTTTCTGTATACAGTGTTATAAAATCCATCCTGGCCAGAGGCAAAACCCTTTCACCTGAAAAGGGTTAAGAAGCTAAGATAACCCAGCTGGCACCTGACCCAAAATGATCAATGAGGGGACAAGATACTTTCAAAGCTCGGGGGCGGGGGGGAGACACAAAGGGTTCTGTCTGTCTGTGTGATGCTTTTGCCGGGAACAGATCAGAAATGCAACCCTTCCAACTCCTGTTAAGTTAGTAAGTAATCTAGCTAGAAAATGCATTAGATTTTCTTTTGTTTAATGGCTGGTAAAATAAGATGTGCTGGAGGGAATGCATATTCCTGTTTTTGTGTCTTTTTGTAACTTAAGGTTTTGCCTAGAGAGATTCTCTATGCTTTGAATCTGATTACCCTGTAAGGTATTTACCATCCTGATTTTACAGAGGTGATTCTTTTACCTTTTCTTTAATTAAAATTCTTCTTTTAAGAACCTGATTGATTTTTCATTGTTCTTAAGATCCAAGGGTTTGGACCTGTATCAGTTGGTGAGGATTATTATCAAGCATTAACCAGGAAAGAGGGTGTAGGACGTGGGAGGATATTTTGGGGGAAGACGTCTCCAAGTGGTCTCTTTCCCTGTTCTTTGTTTTACACGCTTAGTGGTGGCGGCATACTGTTCAAGGACAAGGCAAAGTTTGTACCTTGGGGAAGTTTTTAACCTAAGCTGGTAAGAATAAGCTTAGGGGGTCTTTCATGCAGGTCCCCACATCTGTACCCTAGAGTTCAGAGTGGGGAAGGAACCTTGACAAAGGCACTTCAAGATCCTTAGCTGGAAAGCACTACAGAGGTTTTCTATATAACTTATTATGATCAGCAGAAATCTGGAGAAAATAGTGTGATATTCAAAAAAAGCTACATCAAGGAATTTGCTTCACTTGTATTTTAGCCTTCTACAGTGAAGAAGAGTAGCATAATACCCTCTTGGCTGTGGCTCTACAAGGAAACCCCGTGTAGCACTACAGGATCATTAACAAGCTGAACCACTAGCAAGCAGCTTCAGAGGAAAATCTTAAGTGTTCTCTTCTTTATAGGCCTACATTTCCTTTTTGCCACTTTTCCTAAGTTTTATGTTCCCTTAAGTCATGTTGATTTACTCTATGGAGGAAAAGATCTACAGTGATGAAGCAGAGAACTCACTAATGTTATTCATACACAAATTTCCCTTTTCTGGATGAGGGAAATTATTTTCAAGTTTCAATTCCAATACCAAATTTAAGTTGTCTAGGTAGACAATCTTGTGGTAAAAGGAGTGGAAGACCTCTTAAAAGTCAAGCTATTTTATACTATTTTAAAAAAATGATTCCACTCTTCCCCACAAAGATTTCATATTTGACAGGATTATTTATGTGTACAGTACCACATTTTCATGGAAAAATGGATACCCTCTTCTAACAAGAAAGGAAAGAAAACATAATTCTTGAAGTCCCACTTAAGGTTGTTTACATCAAACTGATACAGATTTAGCACTCTTCTTGGTCTCCTCTGTAACCAAGAATCCACAAATATGTTCATGGTCTACTTACTAACTCACATGGGGAGAAGGTTTCTGATAGCAGGGGGCTTTTTAATCTAACAGACAAAGTCATGACAAGAGCCAATGGCTGGAAGTTGAAGCCAGACATATTCAGACTGAAAATAAGATGCAATTTTTGTTTGACAGTGATGGTACTTAACCATTGGGACAAATTTACCATGGCTGTGGTAGACACTCCATCTGAAGCCTTTACATCAAGACGGAGGGTCTTTCTAAAACATATGCTGTAGCTGAACCACCACGTATGGGCTTGATGCAGGAATTATTGGTGGAATTCTCCTGCTTATGTTATACAAGAAGTCAAACTGATCCCTTCTGACCTTAAAAATCTATCACTATGATCTTATGGTGCTTACTAGCATTACCCTGGATATAAGAATATCAAATTATATCACTGTCCAGCGGTTAGTTGTGTTCTTGTAGTTTTTTCAAGAAAGAGACAAGCTCCTCTCTGATTCACACAGTGCGGCTGGTTGCCTCAAACTTCCTATACCGTTAGTTGGACCAATGTAGCCTATTTTTCATCAAGCCCAGTTTTAAAGCATATTTAACTTAAACTAATACCATGAAAAATACTAATTTATTTGGGCCAGATTCTGCCATCAATTATTCATGCAGACTAATACCTTATTCTGAAAATAGCACCACTGATTAAAATGGTACTACTTACGGAATAAATTGCTGCTGACTGTGAATAAGATTATCAGAATCCAGCCCTTCGATTGTAAACTCTTTAGGGCAGGGACTATATTTTCCTATGAGTGTACTGTGCAGAACACAATGAGGCCCTGACCCTAGCTGGGTTTTTTGGGAGCTACCACAATATAATGATAATTAGCAATGAAATAGTTAATTATTAATAACAAAGAATAGTAATTTACAGCTTCCTAACTTAAACCAGTCAGTCATTCCTTTAATTAAATCTCATGGATTATGTTAACCTCTTCACATTTCAAATCCTATGAGCCATTTGATTTTTTTATTTTTTTTTTTTAAATAGCACTTAGATTTATAGGACAGTACCAGACTTTAAAATAAACAGGCAGTCTAAAGATATTTATGAATAACAGTTCCCCTTCGAACAGTTCCCCTGAAAAACAAAGTTGTTTTCTCTCAGCACTGAAGATGTGGGGCAATATTGCCATTAACAAATTCAAATTCACTGGCTACATTGGCATAGCTGCACATATGCTGTCCCTATTGTGATGTAAAGCTAATGAGATTCCACAGGGAGATAAAAGCCATGCCAGCGCTGCTGGAACACTAATAATGTTTTCTGAACAAAAAGGAGGCGATTCATACCATAAGCAAGTGCTGATAAAGAAAAAAAATGCTTCTAAAAAGATCAAAGTGGGTGTCAAACTTTGGGAAGAGGAGGGGAGGAATAACACCCCCCAAAAGTAGCAACAAACATTGTGATGCTGAACAGAGCAAAGAAAAGAGATGCAAAAATGTCAAACTGTCTAATGGGTGGGGGGTGGGGACCAAACAAAACCCAACAAAACAAAGCACAAACTGTCCAAGATTAAAAAAAAAATAAAAAGGAAGGTAACAGATCAATGCAGAAGGCTTTACTAATGGAAATATCATTTCACGCCAAAGCAAAGAAAATAGCACATGCACCAGCTCATTTTTGGGATATTTTTTCCTCCATCCAAGTTGGAGTTGCAAGATAATTTATTTTGTGTGTTGAACAACATTTTGTATCTACAGGACTTCTCTTCTCTACACTATCTAACAACATTCCTGTTCCCCTCACCTGTCCCTTTTCCAAATTAGGGTGTCCTCTAGTACACAAACTGATTAGACAACTACTACTCTGAGTCACAGAAAAAACTCTTCCAAGAGATTTTACAAAAAAGCGTCAATTGTCACAATTCACCTTCTGGAAAATACCTGTGAGTTTTTCCAAACAAAATGAAAGATACACTATTGAAGTTAAAGACAAGTTTTGCTAAATGAAATATTTATCATTTAACCAGACACATTCACATTTTACAGCAGAGTCTCAAAGCAAAAAAGGACTCTAGTTACAATAAAAATTGACTGGTAGAGACATGCTCTTGGGTCCTGTCTTCTGAATGAACTTACATTTCTACTGGACTGGATGAGCAGATTTTGGTTTATCAAAATACAACTGTGTTTAAATTTGAATAGAAGCACTTTCCCTCTTATTAGCAGTTATTTAGATTGATCTCTGGCACCAAACTTAACTTTTTTGGTTCATTTCTGTTTCCAAACTGCTTATAAATGTACACAGCTTGAATGCATATCTTTCTTCCAGTCTAGAGAGATGCCTGCATTCTGAGTTCAAACCGCAGATCACCAGGCTTCCGTTGGATCAAACCTAATCTTTAACATGACTTTATGGGAATGAAATTTTCAATACTTTTTATCTAAGAATAACAATTAGGTCCCCACCAGCGAGTAGAGTTGTCTGGGTATTTGCTCACTCTGAGAAACTACATGCAGAGCACAGATGGCTGCTCAGCAGTAGAGTGAAAAGGCAGGTACTCCCTAGTTCCTTATCGCATCTGACAGCTCAGCTTGTTTGCTTGGTAACGTTGTAAATAGCTCATGAGATCAACATACACTGATAGCAACAAACAAAAGCCTTGCTGTTTGTCTGAACCAACCCATCCTCAGCCTTTCTCCAAAATTTCTTATCCACTCAATGGTACTACAAAAGGCACTAGTATATTATTATTCCTGGAGGTTTCACTTTTCAGAAGGGGACAGTATCCAGGAATGAAAAAATATCAGAATTTCCAGTGTTGCAGATTCATTTAAAAAGTACAGTCTTGTTTATGGGTGGGTAAGGGTAAATAAGTGCTTCCACAAATTGTGACAAAAAACACAAAGGTAGGGGTGTTACTTTGCACTATTATGAAGGGGACCTATTAAATAGTCTGGTTTCTTACTATTAAGGCTGACAGGGGCTTAAA